GCTTCGCCGACACTGTCTCCGCAGCAGCTACGTGAGTGGCTTGTTCAGCGCGCACGCCTTTGCAGTGGAGCAATCGGAGCTGGAGGCGCTGGAGCCACTGGAGCTGGAGGCGCTGGAGCTGGAGACCCTACGGAGCCTAGAGCTGGTGGAGCTGGAGGCTCTGGCACTTGTGGCGCTGGAGCTGGAGGAGCTCGAGCTGGTGGCACTGGCGCTGGAGGCGCAGGAGCTCGAGGAGCTGGAGTTGGAGGCACTGGCACGGGAGGCGCTGGAGCTGGTGTCACTGACGCTGGAGGAGCTGGAGTTGGAGGCCCTGGCGCAGGAGGCGCTGGAGCTGGAGGATCTGGCGCTGTTGACCTAGGAGCTAGAGCTGCTGGAGGCACTGTGCGGCCGCGATCGTACTTCGTTCCCTTGCTTCAGCAGGTTTTTGGTGTCCCGTCTTCTACTAGCCTTACTCCTCCCCTCCAGTGTCCACAGCCTGACCTGCCGTTACAGCCGGCCTCCCCACTGCCTGCTCCTTCTCCTTACACAGAGCAGTCTGGCGGTCTTACAGAGCGTCGTGAGCCTGTGTCTCGTCCTGTCTTGCCTGTTTGCACTACTCGTCACGTTCCTCGTTCGCGTCCTCCTCCTGTCCCCGGCACGCACGCTATGGCACTTCGTCCTTCCTCTGTTCCACTGCGTGTTCCTCTGCCTGCTCCTCCTGAGTCCTCTCTCCCTGAGGTCCCTGACCCTGAGTCTGACCGCGCTCGTGCTGCCAGTCCCACTGTCTCTCGTCTCCTCTCCACTACTATCACTGACTCTTCTTTTGAGACTGCTGCTGCGTCTGCCCTCGTTGCTGAGCTGCTTCACTTTGCTGCTGCCTGCCGTCTAAACTACGCCACTGCTCTTGTTGCTGAGTCTGCGTCTACTAGTCCTCCGTCCGTCGTGGGTGAGTGTGCTCTTGGCACGGACGTCCTTGAGGACAGGCAGGAGGATTTTGAGTGTCTTGCAGGTGCTGTACCTCGTTTCGCTTCCGTGCTGTTTGCCCCTGAGAGAGACCCGGATGCACCAGACATCCCGACCCCGCGCTCTTACGCAGAGGCGATTACGGGTCCTTACTCCTCTTAGTGGCAGGTAGCCATGGATGCCGAGATGGCATCCTGGAAGTCCGCAGGCACTTCCGTCGATGCAGTTCCCCTGTCTCGGGCGAACATAGTCGATGGCATGTGGATTTTCAGGGTGAAGCGGCCGCCGGGTTCTCCGCCTGCTTTCAAGGCGCATTACGTTGCTCGAGGCTTCAATCAGCGACAGGGGGTTGACTACTTCCAGACCTTCTCTCCCACCCCGAAGATGACCACTCTTCGGGTGTTGCTGCACGTTGCTGCTCAGCGTGACTACGAGTTGCACTCCCTGGACTTCAACACAACTTTCTTGCAGGGCAGCCTGCACGAGGAGATCTGGCTGCGCCGCCCACCTGGCTTCATTGGGTCGTTTCCTGCAGGTACCCAGTGGAGCCTCCAGCGGCCAGTCTGCGGTCTCCGCTAGGCACCTCGCGAGTGGCACAAGACACTGAGAACTACACTCGCGGCTCTTGGGTTTGCTCCTTCTACTGCTGACCCGTCGATGTTTCTACAAACCAACACATCGCTGCCGCCATTCTACGTCCTCGTGTACGTCGACGACCTTGTCTTTGCCACTGCTGACACTGAAGCACTGACCCTTGTGAAGTTGGAGCTGAAGAAGAGACACACCTGCACTGACCTGGGTGAATTGCGCAGCTATCTTGGCTTCAGATCACCTGGGAATGAGCACGGTGCACCATCATCCTGACACAGTCACACATGGTGCACCAGGTCCTTCAGCGCTTCGGCTTCCAGTTCTCCTCGCCACAGCCCACTCCTCTGTCTACCGGCCACTCGCGCTCAGCTCCACCTTCGGACGAGTCCGTAGAGCCAAGTGGTCCGTACCCAGAGCTTGTGGGTTGCCTCATGTACCTGATGACGTGCACACGACCTGACCTCGCGTACCCTCTCAGCCTTCTGGCTCGCTACGTGGCTCCCAATAGGCACCAAAAAGTGCACTGGTATGCTGCGAAGAGGGTACTGCGTTACTTGTGCAGTACGTTGGGCATGGGGCTCGTGCTTGGAGGATGGGGTCAAGTTGTCCTCACTTGTCACGCAGACGCTTCTTGGGTTGACGACCTAGCTATGCAGCGGTCGTCACAAGGTTACACCTTCAGCCTTGGTTCCGGCTCTGTTTCCTGGCGGTCTTCCCGCTCGTCTTCGGTTCTCAGCTCCAGTTGTGAAGCTGAGATCTACGCAGGGGCCATGGCTGCACAGGAGCTACGCTGGCTGACCTACCTGCTCACTGACTTGGGAGAGGAGCCTCGTTCGCCTCCAGTTCTGTACGTAGACAACAAGGCCATTATTGCCTTGTGTCAGTAGCACAGACTCGAGCACCGAATGAAGCACATCGCTCTGCGATACTTCCTTGCTCAAGACTTGCAGCAGCATGGCCAGCTTCGTCTTGCGTAAGTAGCCACTAGGGCCAACACTGCTGATATATTCACCAAGGCACTTCCGCCTGGTGATCATCAGCGCTTCTCTACTGTGTTAGGCCTTGTGCCTACTTTGCCTCACTTGTTCACTGCTTGACTCTGCTTGTACTGTGATCTATATATATACCTGCATGCTTACACTTGCTAGGGTATGATCACTGTATTGTTTGTTCTCTTTTATATAACTCTGCATGTGAACTGGCCTTGTGGCCCATTGCGTGGTGACTTGTGATCCACCCTGAGCTTGCTTTGCTTTTCTTGACTGGTCGTGTGACCACTTGTTCTCCCTTAGTTTGCCTATGGGGGTGTGTCAGATTGTTATAGTAATTACATTTATGTAGGCTATAGTGGGGTAGCCCATAAGGGGTACAACCCAATTAGGGTTAGTACTTGTACCCAACTCTTTGCTAGTTCATCCATTCTCGTTCATTATTCTGACAAAGGATTAAGGCACGCTGAACTTGCGGGACAATACGAGTAGAGCTACACGCATCAGCAAAGCCAATTTTCTAAAAGATAAGTGCGAAATGGGAGAGATTTGAGGTAGACAAAGATACGCACCGGTATGTGTCGCCAACAGTCAGAAACTGCGTCAGCAATGTTGCACGCTTGTAGTTGCAATTTCTGAAGGCTTTTTAGTCCTCAAACTCATAGAACTTATTCAAGAACACACAACGCGAACCGGAGATGATCGAAGGAAGAGTTGGAGTGAGGAAAGGGAGGAAAGGAGAGGGCGAGCGGTGAAAGAAGAAGAGAGAGGGGGAGAGAGGAGGGAACGAGAGTATTCGTGCCAAGAACAAATCCAAGGCAGGCAAACACAGCTACGAAGTGAAGCTGCAGTACATGAAGGAACAAGTCACGAACAGAGATGGAGGGAAAGCGATAAGAGAGCAAAAGAGTGTGAAGGAAAGAGATAAGAGAGCGAAGGAGTGTGAGGGGAAGAGATAAGCGAGCGTGAGAGAGACGTACCAATTGTATCTGACGCAGTCGCCTTTTCCTTGTAAGCCCACTCAGATCCCCCTTGTACGTAGAAATAGAAGGTCTTGCCCTGGTGTGGCAAAAGGCAGCGGGAATGGTTTTATTGCGTGGGTGCCAGAGCGGGAGGGCTTTTGAGGCGCGTCAAAACGCAAAATGAAAGGTCTTGCCCTGGAGTAGCAAAAGGCAGCGGAAGGGACTTTAGGTGCAGCTTGAAAAACCCAAATGTCCAGGCCGGACACATTAGCCACTGCGGTTATATATACACCAGTTTCATTTATACGTTTCACATATCCTATTTGTTTTCTTTTTGATGCTACTAATGCAAAAAATTGTTTTTTTTTATTTATTGTACAATTCCAATCACTGGGCGTCACAACCAACAAACCTAGTATTGGCCAAATCTACCAATCCTCCACTCCATCATTGCTAATAAACACGCAAGATTGCCCGCCCGTAAATTTCCAAGCGTTGTGGGTGGCGTCCCACCAAGGTCCCCTTCATTGTTCCAGCATGCAAGACAAGCTCGAACCCAATCCCGAACTTTGACGTGATACCCCTCAACAGCGACGCGGTTGTCCTTGTAGCTCGGCTGCATACACGACTCGTTGATCTTCATCTCGACCCGCATTTCAGTAGCAAACGCGTTGCATTAGTGTTACTATTGATAAGCACCCAGGGCGTGCAAAATGGCATGAATCAACTCACCTCGCAGAGCCAGAAGGCAATGTGCCTGAGGCGGAGCACGATCGTGGTGTGCCCTTCACGACTGAACGAGGCAATAATGGCTCGTACAAACTCATCGCTTGCGAATGGAATGCCTTGCTTGTTCATGTGCCAGGTCAACAGCGTGAACGACCCGGTGACTATTGTAAGAGGTGCACGGGGTGGGGATGAGGGGTTTCGGGGGGGTAAGTGTTGGGGTTGGTAGGGGGGGAGTAGGGCAAAGAGTAAGGCAGGGGGTAGGCGGGGATGGGGGGAGAGGAGGTGGGAGGGGCAGCCGTGTCCCTCAGTGGTTCTGCCAGGCAGGGAGTAAGGCAGGGGCGAGGCGGAGATGGGGGGAGAGGAGGTGGTTAGTTGCTGCCGTGCTTCCTCAGTGGCTCTGCCAGGCAGAGAGTAATGCAGGGGCGAGGCGGAGATGGGGGAAGAGGAGGTGGTTAGTTGCTGCTGTGCTTCCTCAGTGGCTCTGCCAGGCAGAGAGTAAGGCAGGGGCGAGGCAGATTGGGGGTAGAGGAGGTGATTAGTTGCTTCCGTGCTTCCTCAGTGGCTCTGCCAGGCAGAGAGTAAGGCAGGGGCGAGGCGGAGATGGGGGAAGAGGAGGTGGTTAGTTGCTGCCATGCTTCCTCAGTGGCTCTGCCAGGCAGAGAGTAAGGCAGGGGCGAGGCGGAGATGGGGGGAGAGGAGGTGGTTAGTTGCTTCCGTGCTTCCTCAGTGGCTCTGCCAGGCAGAGAGTAAGGCAGGGGCGAGGCGGAGATGGGGGGAGAGGAGGTGGTTAGTTGCTGCCGTGCTTCCTCAGTGGCTCTGCCAGGTAGAGAGTAAGGCAGGGGCGAGGCAGATTGGAGGGAGAGGTGGTGGTTAGTTGCTTCCGTGCTTCCTCAGTGGCTCTGCCAGGCAGAGAGTAAGGCAGGGGCGAGGCAGAGATGGAGGAAGAGGAGGTGGTCAGTTGCTGCCATGCTTCCTCAGTGGCTCTGCCAGGCAGAGAGTAATGCAGGGGCGAGGCGGAGATGGGGGGAGAGGAGGTGGTTAGTTGCTGCCGTGCTTCCTCAGTGGCTCTGGCAGGCAGAGAGTAAGGCAGGGGCGAGGCGGAGATGGGGGGAGAGGAGGTGGTTAGTTGCTGCCGTGCTTCCTCAGTGCCTCTGCCAGGCAGAGAGTAAGGCAGGGGCGAGGCGGAGATGGGGGGAGAGGAGGTGGTTCGTTGCTGCCGTGCTTCCTCAGTGGCTCTGCCAGGCAGAGAGTAAGGCAGGGGCGAGGCAGATTGGGGGTAGGAGGTGGTTAGTTGCTTCTGTGCTTCCTCAGTGGCTCTGCCAGGCAGAGAGTAAGGCAAGGGTGAGGCGGAGATGGGGGGAGAGGAGGTGGTTAGTTGCTTCCGTCCTTCCTCAGTGGCTCTGCCAGGCAGAGAGTAAGACAGGGGCGAGGCAGATTGGGGGGAGAGGTGGTGGTTAGTTGCTTCCGTGCTTCCTCAGTAGCTCTGCCAAGCAGAGAGTAAGGCAGGGGCGAGGCAGAGATGGGGGGAGAGGAGTTGGTTAGTTGCTGCCGTGCTTCTTAGTTGCGGAAGATGCGTCTAGCGTCTTAGACGCGTCCGTCTAGACGCATCGTCTAAGACGATACACAGTGTAGATTAGACGCAATATTGGACGAAAACCCGGGCAGGCCTAAAAAAAATGTTCGGGCAGACCAAAAAAAGTTCTATGGGGCATGGGGAGGGTGGGGGACATGCACCTATGTCAGAATGGGGTGAATTTTTCCCTGTACCATAATTTTTTCCCCATTCTTAGACTTCACAAAAATCTTCTTATCTCATCATAAATAGTTAGGTTGCCATGTCTATCTAGTAGTAGCAAACTCGAAGAACATTATTACTACTACATCTCTCTCCTATCACTACGCCTCCTAGCTCTCCTCCTCTCATCCTCCTCCTCCTCCTCCTCCTCCTCTTCCTCCTCCCCTTGCTTCTCCTGCTCCTCCTGCTTCTCCCACTCATCGAAGCACACGTCGTCCTCGTCCACCTCCACCTCCCCATCCTCCTCCAACTTGTACCCCTCGGGGAGGGGAGGGGGGGGAATGTTCCCCTCCACCACCGCACCCTTCCTTCCCACCACACTAGGCCCCGCATCACCTGTTGGTGCAACCCTACGGTTTGCACTCGGCTTGTTGTCCGTGTGCGTGAATGTGTGTGTGTATGGAATGGTATGAGGGCATGGGATGATATATATTTCATGCTTATAATTGTGTGTGAATGTTGAGTCATGATGTCGAGTGTGTGTGTCGAGTCAATAGCGAGTTATCGCTAGACGCGTGTTACGCGGTCGTTTGTGTCTCGCGCGCGGTTTCTATTTTGTCGTGCGCGGTTTCTATTTTGTCCTGTCGAACGTTCGGCGTGTCGCAGGTGTGTGCAGCAGACCCATCAAGAACTCAAGGATGAGTTTGTGATGAAGAGCCCGAGCCTTGGTGTCAAGCCTCAAGTGATTTCGAAGCTCGCCAAAAGGGTACACCTCAAGATATTGAAGATAGTTACATTACTTTGTGTAGTGTAACATTTCACTTGGTGTAGGCCCTAGTGAAGGGTAGTTTCGAGACCCTTCGTGGTTGGGGACAGTGTGGCACTGTTCCACATCACTGTACCTCGGCTCTTGGGGTTTTTAGGAGCTGGGAGTCATTCCCAACTCGTAACTCTTCCTATCTTGTGTTCTAAGACTATAGTGGCTGCCATAGTACCGTTCGTTCAAACCGACGCTGTGTCGTCAATTCTTTATCAAATCGTGCAATCTAAATTGCTAATTGTAGACGACGTGAAGACGCTCCAGATCCAATTTGAATCAAGTCATTTGCAGCTGTGAGCAGAACGCTATCAACGTTTGAAGCCGCTGTGCAGAAATCCGTCTGTGCTCTCTATCTTTCGTTTTAGGCACATTCAAGCCTATTGTGACTATAACAGGACAGCGTACGCCGTGCAAAATGCGCCAGGTCGGCGTACTCCCATCCATTGTACTGCCACTACAACATCACGTTCCGCGTCCCCAACTGAATTTCCCCACGCCCATCGATCGCGGTCTGCGTGCCGAATCCTCCTTCGCCGTTGATGTAGGCCGTCACCCCCTCGTGCAGCGGCCGCGCCGGTCCCTTCTTGCCATGGGACTTCTTCCAGTACGTGTTGACGAAAGCCATCTGTCGCTCCAGCCACTCCTGCATGACCTTGGTGCACTCCGCATCCTGCAGAAAGATCCCCTCCTCCTGGTTGGCCGGGTTCAATATCCGGCCTGCCACGTGGAGGGGGCAAGCCAGGCTCTCGTCCCAACGCCTCCTCAAATGCTCCCGCACCTTCTCCTTATCCGCCCTGCTCAGGTTGCACTCCCTCCCATCCAGCAGCTTCCAACTCCTCCATCAGCTGCAGCATGTTGTCGTAAAGCTGGCCCATCATCCCCTTCGCCGCTGAATCCGTCATCCGCATCACGTTGTATAACAACTCCATCACCTGCACAAAGACGTCCACCTTCTTCCACCACGCTGAGTCCATCACCCACCCCTCGAAATCCGATCCTGTCAGCATGTTCCACCCCTTCTCCGCCCAGTCCTTGTGCGTCACCATCGCCGTGAGCTGCTGGAGAACGGCGCGCAGACGAGACACTGCGATGAACTGCGTTCCAAAGCGCGTGCCTGCCGAGCGCAACACCTGCAGCAATTTCTCCTCCCCATGCACCTCCGGGCTCCGCATGAAGGCGCGCGTCCACTGGTTGCCCCGCACAAAGGAGATCATGTTGTCAGGCTTGGTCACGACCACCTGCGCCCAGTCCATCTTGCCGATGTCCTCCATCAGCAGGTCCAGCACGTGCGTGGCGCAAGGAACGAGGTCGAGATGCGGCCACTCCTTCTGCAGCAGCTTGCCAGCAGCTTTGTAGTTGCTGCCGCCGTCTATGCAAAGCGCCACGACGTGCTCTGCCCCGATGCGCTCGATGATCGGCCGCAGGACGCCGACGATGAACAAGCCACTCTTCGTCGCCGCCTTGCAGTTCACCGCCTCAATGAAGACCGCTCCAGTGTCGTTGATGCAGATGATGTTCATCTGCGCGCGACTGCCCTTGTCTTGCATCATGTCGCTGGCGATCGTCACGCCCGTCTCCCTCCACGACCGCGTAACCGGTGACAGCGCCTTCTCAATCCTCTGCTTGCACTCAAGCAGGCCGGCACCTCCGACGTAGTGCCGCTCGGGGGGGACGTAGTTCCGGCCGGCGGCGGTGACGGCTCGCAGCATGTTCAGGAAGAGCGGGTGCTCGCACTGGGACTCCGATGTGAGCGTCCCCGTGAGGTAGAGGACAATTGCCTCGTCGGCGAGGCGGAGATGGGGGGAGAGGAGGTGGTTAGTTGCTGCCGTGCTTCCTCAGTGGCTCTGCCAGGCAGAGAGTAAGGCAGGGGCGAGGCAGATTGGGGGTAGAGGAGGTGGTTAGTTGCTTCTGTGCTTCCTCAGTGGCTCTGCCAGGCAGAGAGTAAGGCAGGGGCGACGCAGATTGGGGGTAGAGGAGGTGGTTAGTTGCTGCCGTGCTTCCTCAGTGGCTCTGCCAGGCAGAGAGTAAGGCAGGGGCGAGGCAGATTGGGGGTAGAGGAGGTGGTTAGTTGCTTCTGTGCTTCCTCAGTGGCTCTGCCAGGCAGAGAGTAAGGCAGGGGTGAGGCGGAGATGGGGGAAGAGGAGGTGTTTACTTGCTGCCGTGCTTCCTCAGTGGCTCTGCCAGGCAGAGAGTAATGCAGGGGCGAGGTGGAGATGGGGGGAGAGGAGGTGGTTAGTTGCTGCCGTGCTTCCTCAGTGGCTCTGCCAGGCAGAGAGTAAGGCAGGGGCGAGGAAGATTGGAGGGAGAGGTGGTGGTTAGTTGCTGCCGTGCTTCCTCAATGGCTCTGCCAGGCAGAGAGTAAGGCAGGGGCGAGGCGGAGATGGGGGGAGAGGAGGTGGTTAGTTGCTGCCGTGCTTCCTCAGTGGCTCTGCCAGGCAGAGAGTAAGGCAGGGGCGAGGCAGATTGGGGGTAGAGGAGGTGGTTAGTTGCTTCTGTGCTTCCTCAGTGGCTCTGCCAGGCAGAGAGTAAGGCAGGGGCGACGCAGATTGGGGGTAGAGGAGGTGGTTAGTTGCTTCTGTGCTTCCTCAGTGGCTCTGCCAGGCAGAGAGTAAGGCAGGGGCGAGGCAGATTGGGGGGAGAGGAGGTGGTTAGTTGCTGCCGTGCTTCCTCAAAGGCTCTGCCAGGCAGAGAGTAATGCAGGGGCGAGGCGGAGATGGGGGGAGAGGAGGTGGTTAGTTGCTTCCGTGCTTCCTCAGTGGCTCTGCCAGGCAGAGAGTAAGGCAGGGGCGAGGCGGAGATGGGGGGAGAGGAGGTGGTTAGTTGCTGCCGTGCTTCCTCAGTGGCTCTGCCAGGCAGAGAGTAAGGCAGGGGCGAGGAAGATTGGAGGGAGAGGTGGTGGTTAGTTGCTGCCGTGCTTCCTCAATGGCTCTGCCAGGCAGAGAGTAAGGCAGGGGCGAGGCGGAGATGGGGGGAGAGGAGGTGGTTAGTTGCTGCCGTGCTTCCTCAGTGGCTCTGCCAGGCAGAGAGTAAGGCAGGGGCGAGGCAGATTGGGGGTAGAGGAGGTGGTTAGTTGCTTCTGTGCTTCCTCAGTGGCTCTGCCAGGCAGAGAGTAAGGCAGGGGCGACGCAGATTGGGGGGAGAGGAGGTGGTTAGTTGCTGCCGTGCTTCCTCAGTGGCTCTGCCAGGCAGAGAGTAATGCAGGGGCGAGGCGGAGATGGGGGGAGAGGAGGTGGTTAGTTGCTTTCGTGCTTCCTCAGTGGCTCTGCCAGGCAGAGAGTAAGGCAGGGGCGAGGCGGAGATGGGGGGAGAGGAGGTGGTTAGTTGCTGCCGTGCTTCCTCAGTGGCTCTGCCAGGCAGAGAGTAAGGCAGGGGCGAGGAAGATTGGAGGGAGAGGCGGTGGTTAGTTGCTGCCGTGCTTCCTCAATGGCTCTGCCAGGCAGAGAGTAAGGCAGGGGCGAGGCGGAGATGGGGGGAGAGGAGGTGGTTAGTTGCTGCTGTGCTTCCTCAGTGGCTCTGCCAGGCAGAGAGTAAGGCAGGGTCGAGGAAGATTGGAGGGAGAGGTGGTGGTTAGTTGCTGCCATGCTTCCTCAATGGCTCTGCCAGGCAGAGAGTAAGGCAGGGGCGAGGCGGAGATGGGGGGAGAGGAGGTGGTTAGTTGCTGCCGTGCTTCCTCAGTGGCTCTGCCAGGCAGAGAGTAATGCAGGGGCGAGGCGGAGATGGGGGGAGAGGAGGTAGTTAGTTGCTTCCGTGCTTCCTCAGTGGCTCTGCCAGGCAGAGAGTAAGGCAGGGGCGAGGCGGAGATGGGGGGAGAGGAGGTGGTTAGTTGCTGCTGTGCTTCCTCAGTGGCTCTGCCAGGCAGAGAGTAAGGCAGGGGCGAGGCAGATTGGGGGTAGAGGAGGTGGTTAGTTGCTTCTGTGCTTCCTTAGTGGCTCTGCCAGGCAGAGAGTAAGGCAGGGGCGACGCAGATTGGGGGGAGAGGAGGTGGTTAGTTGCTGCCGTGCTTCCTCAGTGGCTCTGCCAGGCAGAGAGTAATGCAGGGGCGAGGCGGAGATGGGGGGAGAGGAGGTGGTTAGTTGCTGCCTGTTATAGTCACAATAGGCTTGAATGTGCCTAAAACGAAAGATAGAGAGCACAGACGGATTTCTGCACAGCGGCTTCAAACGTTGATAGCGTTCTGCTCACAGCTGCAAATGACTTGATTCAAATTGGATCTGGAGCGTATTCATGTCTTCTACAATTAGCAATTTAGATTGCACGATTTGATAAAGAATTGACGACACAGCGTCGGTTTGAACGAACGGTACTATGGCAGCCACTATAGTCTTAGAACACAAGATAGGAAGAGTTACGAGTTGGGAATGACTCCCAGCTCCTACAAACCCCAAGAGCCGAGGTACAGTGATGTGGAACAGTGCCACACTGTCCCCAACCAAGAAGGGTCTCGAAACTACCCTTCACTAGGGCCTACACCAAGTGAAATGTTACACTACACAAAGTAATGTAACTATCTTCAATATCTTGAGGTGTACCCTTTTGGCAAGCTTCAAAATCACTTGAGGCTTGACACCAAGGCTCGGGCTCTTCATCACAAACTCATCCTTGAGTTCTTGATGGGTCTGCTGCACACACCTGCGACACGCCGAACGTTCGACACAGGACAAAATAGAAACCGCGCACGACAAAATAGAAACCGCGCGCGAGACACAAACGACCGCGTAACACGCGTCTAGCGATAACTCGCTATTGACTCGACACACACACTCGACATCATGACTCAACATTCACACACAATTATAAGCATGAAATATATATTATCCCATGCCCTCATACCATTCCATACACACACACATTCACGCACACGGACAACAAGCCGAGTGCAAACCGTAGGGTTGCACCAACACTGCCGTGCTTCCTCAGTGGCTCTGCCAGGCAGAGAGTAAGGCAGGGGCGAGGCGGAGATGGGGGGAGAGGAGGTGGTTAGTTGCTGCCGTGCTTCCTCAGTGGCTCTGCCAGGCAGAGAGTAAGGCAGGGGCGAGGCAGATTGGGGGTAGAGGAGGTGGTTAGTTGCTTCTGTGCTTCCTCAGTGGCTCTGCCAGGCAGAGAGTAAGGCAGGGGCGACGCAGATTGGGGGTAGAGGAGGTGGTTAGTTGCTGCCGTGCTTCCTCAGTGGCTCTCCCAGGCAGAGAGTAAGGCAGGGGCGAGGCAGATTGGGTAGAGGAGGTGGTTAGTTGCTGCCGTGCTTCCTCAGTGGCTCTGCCAGGCAGAGAGTAAGGCAGGGGTGAGGCGGAGATGGGGGAGGAGGAGGTGTTTACTTGCTGCCGTGCTTCCTCAGTGGCTCTGCCAGGCAGAGAGTAATGCAGGGGCGAGGCGGAGATGGGGGGAGAGGAGGTGGTTAGTTGCTGCCGTGCTTCCTCAGTGGCTCTCCCAGGCAGAGAGTAAGGCAGGGGCGAGGCAGATTGGGGGTAGAGGAGGTGGTTACTTGCTGCCGTGCTTCCTCAGTGGCTCTGCCAGGCAGAGAGTAAGGCAGGGGTGAGGCGGAGATGGGGGAAGAGGAGGTGTTTACTTGCTGCCGTGCTTCCTCAGTGGCTCTGCCAGGCAGAGAGTAATGCAGGGGCGAGGCGGAGATGGGGGGAGAGGAGGTGGTTAGTTGCTGCCGTGCTTCCTCAGTGGCTCTGCCAGGCAGAGAGTAATGCAGGGGCGAGGCGGAGATGGGGGGAGAGGAGGTGGTTAGTTGCTGCCGTGCTTCCTCAGTGGCTCTGCCAGGCAGAGAGTAAGGCAGGGGCGAGGCAGATTGGGGGTAGAGGAGGTGGTTAGTTGCTGCCGTGCTTCCTCAGTGGCTCTGCCAGGCAGAGAGTAAGGCAGGGGCGAGGCGGAGATGGGGGAAGAGGAGGTTTTTACTTGCTGCCACGCTTCCTCAGTGGCTCTGCCAGGCAGAGAGTAATGCAGGGGTGAGGCGGAGATGGGGGGAGACGAGGTGGTTAGTTGCTGCCGTGCTTCCTCAGTGGCTCTGCCAGGCAGAGAGTAGGCAGGGGCGAGGCAGATTGGGGGTAGAGGAGGTGGTTAGTTGCTTCTGTGCTTCCTCAGTGGCTCTGCCAGGCAGAGAGTAAGGCAGGGGCGACGCAGATTGGGGGTAGAGGAGGTGGTTAGTTGCTGCCGTGCTTCCTCAGTGGCTCTGCCAGGCATAGAGTAAGGCAGGGGCGAGGCAGATTGGGGGTAGAGGTGGTGGTTAGTTGCTGCCGTGCTTCCTCAGTGGCTCTGCCAGGCAGAGAGTAAGGCAGGGGCGAGGCAGAGATGTGGGGAGAGGAGGTGGTTAGTTGCTGCTGTGCTTCCTCAGTGGCTCTGCCAGGCAGAGAGTAAGGCAGGGGCGAGGCAGAGATGGGGGGAGAGGAGGTGGTTAGTTGCTGCCGTGCTTCCTCAGTGGCTCTGCCAGGCAGAGAGTAAGGCAGGGGCGAGGCGGAGATGGGGGGAGAGGAGGTGGTTAGTTGCTGCTGTGCTTCCTCAGTGGCTCTGCCAGGCAGAGAGTAAGGCAGGGGCGAGGCGGAGATGGGGGGAGAGGAGGTGGTTAGTTGCTGCTGTGCTTCCTCAGTGGCTCTGCCAGGCAGAGAGTAAGGCAGGGGCGAGGCGGAGATGGGGGGAGAGGAGGTGGTTAGTTGCTGCCGTGCTTCCTCAGTGGCTCTGCCAGGCAGAGAGTAAGGCAGGGGCGACGCAG